GGGGGTGTCCCTCAAATAAGATTGTTGGGGGGATCCCTAAATGGAAGGGGACTGTATATATATATATATATATATATATATGTGAAAGAAATGCATACGTGGTCGTGGATTAGGTTAGCTGGTTAAGACAATGTTTTTCTCTTTATGCATCTGAGTTTGATCCCCCTCACGTACATTACATTAGTTTTATAATTAGGGTGGTGATTTTCCCACTCTTCTTTTGTTCATTTACACTCTCTTTTGTTTTTTTAATAGTTTTTACTATTACAAAAAATAGAATGTAAGTGGATAAAAGGGGAGTGGGAGCATACAATTTCTAACAAAGGGAGTTTAAGTGGACAAAAAATGAGTGAGAAAATCAACTCCCTTTAGAATATCGTATTTTGAAAAGAAAAAAAAACTATATAAATAAAATTACCAGAATGTAGAAAAATGAAACAATACTGTAATGAAACATAAAACGAAATATTTTTTTCTGTTAATAATTTGATATCATATATTTACAAATGAAGGGAGGAAGTAAGCACAGGAAATAAATATAAAAAAGGATAGAGTTTTCAATTACTGAAGAAACTTGAATTCTAATCAAGCCAAGGCATGATGAATTCGAGTGTGGTAGTTACTCCATATAAATTCTTTTATTTGACTTGAATGAAATAATATATGTAGCTTTGAAGGAATCAGCCTATGATACTAACTTTGAGCTTTCTTTACCAAAGGGTCTTGACCTAACTTGATAGGAGTGAACACACTTCGGCAGCTTGGATATCGTGGAATGCAAGCAAACCACCCTGACTGACATTGACTATTTTGATACTTGGAATAAAGTTCATTCCTATTATGTTTCAACTCATTGGGTCAAGTTATCTCACTTTGATTTATAAAAAAATAAAAAAAAAACTCATTGGGTCAAAACTCATGAAAGGTATTCGGCGAACCTTAAAGAAATTTAAACCACGTCAGGTCCAATCAATTAATAATCTCATAAAACTACAATTGGCCGATGATGAATTCAAGCCCATCTTAGTAGTTTCTTTTTTTCTTTTATAGCGTGTGAACTGTTAAGATGGACTTCTAAAAAAATACAGGTGATAAAGGAAAACTCTTAAGAAGATGATTTATCAGTCAAGTGTAATACTAGAGTCCTAAGAACTGTTATTTGCATTGTTAAAAATAAATAGTAAAAAAAAGACCAGAACAATTAATAAGAGTGATCGTAACATATATTTCTGATAAATCATCAATTCAATTTTTGAGAATTCCATGTTATACCCTAACGAGGAAGCACTATTTTCAGCTTCATCTTTGTCTTTATCTTGAGACACCCAAAAACCTTCAACATCATCTCTATAGAAATCAAAATGTAAAGCAATTACAGATCGATATATGTCATTTTTTTGGTAATGTGTACTACAATCCCGATTTTTTGGATTATAGGAGTTCAAGAGATTGTAGTTACCCACCGTTGGATATTAATTCAATGATTCAAAAAAGTTTCTTAAAAAGAGTGCAAGAGTGAGTGAACCTGGTAGATGAAGAGGAAGGGTCTAGAAGGGTGGTTTTGAAAAATCATGGGCTTTTAATCTGCGGGCATGACTAGGTTTGCACAGATCTTATCCGGTTTTGGTTTCCACCAACCCCTTGAACACGTGTTTTATGTTAATTCATTTCTTCATCCTTATTTGTATATTAACTACCAGTCTAGAAAAGAAACTCTCCTCAAAGGATTAGCATATCCTATGCATGTGGTCAGAGTCAATGTACGAAGGGAAGTAAGAAAGATAGTTATGGGATGAAAAATAATGTGCCAACCATGGCAACATAAAAGGAAATGCCAAGAGAGAAAATCGTAAGCCATCAGATATTTAATCATGAAATTAGTATCCCATATTAAAATCATCAATTCTTCGTTTGGATGAGATGAGGAGAAGTAATTCGGAATTTAACTAAAAATCAGGAATTTAAGAAGAGAAATTGACAATTCTCTCGTTTGGCAACTTAAGCACATAATTTATTAAATGAAGAAATACATAAATCCAACTATTAAAATCTTCAATTGCCAAAAATTGAAATGATGGAAATCTATTCCGTTATTTTAGAATTCTATGTAATTTTCAATTTCTTCAGAGAAAAGAAAAGTAATTGAAATTGACAATGCAATACAAATGTGATAAAGGCCGACTCCAAGACCATAACACATGTATATCCAACCAAGCCGACACTCTCGTCGTAAACACAGACATAGATATCAAGCATTAGAGTTTTATCCATGGCTTCAATTTCAATATATACATATACGTATATTTCTCTGCTCGTTCATCGAATCATCTTCGTGTTCGATAAAAACCAACCCACAGGTGATAAATCAATAATCCCAAATTTAATGTATGAGATTTGTATTATTTTTATTATATGAAAAAAAAAAAACAGAAAAAAGAAGACAAATTAGGTGTAGGGGCACATGAGAAACCAGGTTACCCCCTCCAGTCGTTGGAGCAGCAAGGTCTTGAATTGCCTGACACCACGGTCGCTGGAGCTGAGATCCAATTGGTGTATCATATCGTTCTTTATACGTTTTTTATTCTATGAATGAATTCTGTTTCTAAAAAAACAACATTTTCACAAACACATTGCATTCATTCAAACGGACAGTCATTAAGAATTAATTAACAAATCAACTCAAAATTTTGAGAAAAACAATTAATTAAGATATTAGTAATTGAATGCGATTCATTGATTTGTAGATGAGAGAGACGTGGACGCGAGGACGCTCTGTGTCGATCTCGTTCGCGACGCGGAGAATGGGAGCGATTGATGCGAGGGCTGAGGGGACGACCTCATTGTTGAAGACCTCCATAGAGAAGGAGCACGACGATCAGAAAAGCCTTGATGATGCGGTAGAGGCGCAACGAGGCGACCTCATTGTCCTCACCGGAATCCTAGATCGTCGGAGACGTTGATCTGAATATTTTCCCGGCGGCAATTAATCGGCACTGTTGTCTTTCTCCGAGAATAGGTCATGAAGGAGCTGAAAGCGAGGGGCTTTGCTAAACTACGAAGGGTATATGTGACCTAAATAAAGGTAAGAAATCGAAGTTATTTTGTGTAGCCTCTAGAATTTTCCACGAGTTCAAAACTTTCATACCAAAAACAAAACCAACCACAAACTCCCTTCTGCCGCTGCATCCCGAAACCCTAAATTCCATTTTCCCTCAATTTCAATAGCAAAGTCCCTATCATCTGATATCATGGCTGATTGGAATATATCTAATCATTCCTCAGCCGTTGTGCTCAACCCTAGTCGAGATGTTCAGTACCATGACCACGCCTTGCCGACGGCTTCACGCCAAGAGACGGTAGCCACGTTTTCCTGGGACCAATTCGATTTGCTAATATCAAAATTGGAGGAGCTTCGCAGCACCCCTTACGCCGCCGCTGCCCCTTGCCGAGATGTTCAGAACCATGCCTTTCTCCCGTCGAAGTTATCGGAGATCCAGAAATCTCTGGTCGATTTGAAGAAATCAACAATGGAGGAGTTTCGTCTAATACGCTCCAGTATTACTAGCCCCACTCCATCCGAAACGACGGTGATTGACGGCAGTCCCAACCACCCAAGGTCAGTGCATGGCTTAGTGGATTTCATTGATTTTTGTTTCTCAGTAAAATTGTTGATGTTCTTCAGTAGCATTGTTGTTTTATTTGTTTTATTTTTCCAAAATTTCCGATCAATTTTCTCTTTGTTTAGTTTCTCAAACGACAGTGATTGCTGCATCTTTAATTATTCAAAGATTTTGCTACCAACCATTCAGTTCACCTGTGTTACATATTCTTAATAAATTTCAATTGGTATATAGATTTCACACGTGAGGGAGCTTATGTACCTCCTTTAATATCAGATAACGTTGTTGGTGATTTTCCCTTAGATTTCCATGATTTCCATTGATGATTTATTTATTCTGTGAATTGAACTTTGTATGTAATCATCCTGTATCAATTATTCTACACTCCCATTCACAGTTTGTACGAAATTAGTGAAGTTTATTTATAGATACTGGCATTTTTACTGTTTTGTTTGTATTTATTCATACATATATGTATATATGTGCTCACTAAAGTAGATGATGAAGCTTTAACCTTGCTTCATTCATTAATTCTCTCTAGGTAG